GGGGGGGGGGGGGGGGGGGGGCAACTGCCCACCTTGCCACTACCTGCGGGCGCCCATGGGCAGGAATCATGATAGATGACAAATACAGAAACTGAGAATCTTTCTGATCTGGTCAGATCATTGTCCCATGTTCTATTGTTAAAAATTCACATTTCACATACAACCATTTGCACTTTTTAGTATATAGGCCTACATAAAAAATATTTTACAACAATGAATGCCAACTCATGAACACCAACTCATAAACATTATGGCCACTACAAATTGTGTGCTCAGTTGATTATCTTTCAAACAATTTTTATTTGGCATGTAATCATGTTTCTGAGTGAGTAGACAAAAGATGGCAGTTGGATTTTAGAAAATAAATGAATTTCTGTACAAATAATAGGCGGGGTGGAGGAGGGGGAGTAACTCTAAACCATACAGTAAAAGATAAATGTAATCACCGAAGCAAATTTGTTTGGACAAAAGTCAAATGCAAAAATTTCTTAAATTACTTTGAGTGTTACATGTACGATGCAATTATGAAATAATTTATTAAAATCATTGACAAGCCCTTTGTTACTTACTAATTATAAGGAAAGCAATCACACATTTAATGAAGCTCTTCATAAAAATAAATAGGTCCTACACAAAATTAAAAGATCATTTTTAATCATTTGTAAAGTAAAGATTTCAATTGACTAGTGACATGGACAAGTAGAATTATTTGCTATATAAATAAAATAAAATTATTATGTCAGTTGTGTCCTATTTGATTTTCGCTACATCATCAACTTCACTTTATATCCTGATACATAGTTATATATATTTCCTGTTAGATTTAATTTAAACACAAAGTTACATTTTAGCTTTCAATATAAGATTAGAAAAGGAAATAAAAATGAGATTTTAACCAAAAATAATATCATCGGTTGTTGAAGTATCTTCTTGTAAAGAATATTTTGTAAGCTCTGATTTATGCAAGAGTTTTTTTCCACAAATTGATTATTTGCTCTCATTGAGTCCATTCTTGTGCTCAGTATTAATTCAAACTTTAAAAAAAAAGTGTAAACTATTTTTAAAAAAATTATATTTGTAAAACGGGACTTAATTCATCAAAAACTTTCCAAAGACAAAACCCTCAAGTTTATTTGATCAGGCTGATAGATGATGAATTACATTTCCATTTTAATGTGTAGTTTAGCCTCCTGAAAAACAAAATCATCTTCTTTCACAACCACAAAATCTTCATCTGCACCACTTGATTCCTGAGTTGTTTCCCTTGCGTCAGAAGCAGAAGTTGTTGCTCCTGGCCCATGTGTCTGATCCATGGGTTGGGTTGGGACACCAACATTTATAGCCGATTCCTTAATCATTTTTTTTCTTCCATCATCAAAATTGGTGTCGTCATTACTCTCACCACATTTAAGGGAAGTATTCATAAATTGATTTTCATTAAATATGGATTCTGCTGTGCTAGGGATAGATTCATCTACTGATGTCTTCTCTTCTTGTAATCCTTCAGTCATGGATTTCTCTTCATTGCTTTGTTTCATGTCATCTGATTCCTTTACAACTGCCTCTGCAGATAATTCCTTGAAACTTGTTTCAGTTTGTATGGGTTGATTTTCAGATATGACAAGTTTCTGAAGTTGATTCTCAACTTCTTCTTGTTTAAATTCAGCAGCTGGTGTTATTTTCACGTCAGCTAACCGTTGCCTGATATCTTCGTGATCCTCGTCTCTTGGTTGATGAGGAATTTGTCCAGGGCCAGGCTCTCCTCCGGCTATTGGGTCACTTTCGTCTGGCTCCAATTGTTTCTCATTGTGAGCTTGAGATCTCTGCTGCAGCCAGTCTTGCCGTTTTGTTACGTGTTTTGCTGAATTCAAAGACTGCATTTTGGCTGCCGGCAGCCGGGGAACTCTTTCATCTGGCTGTGTGCCATGAACAGAATAAAGTGACCCACATTGAATTTGATGTACTTGGGAACTAGCTGGTATTGAGGCAACAGCTGGAGCTACAGTGTGCTGAAATGTCAGAGAAATGGAAATTATCATAACTATATATGTAATATAAATAAGATTGTTCATTTATTGTAAAAAATTTTTTAATAAATTTGAAAACATAATCTTAAATAAATGTCTGAATCTTTCAATGGAATTTTTCTACTTACAATCTAGAAAGCTTTGACTACTTTATGGATAGTTCAGAAAAAATGTTTTCCGTGTGAATGAATATATGAATTTAACTCTTTCAAAAATAAGTTCATTCCAGAATACTCAGCCATTGTTGGCTTTCTTTGGTTCTTGCATATCAGGTTGTTTTTTTGTGTGCCGTTTTTGATACCATAATTTAAGATGACCCCTACCACCTTTTTAATGGTTGAAGATAAACTTGTTATATCTGCCAAAAAAACTAGGCATTGAAATCAGTTTTTTTCAATAATCATATCAAAAATCGTCAATGGTCATGGCCCCTTAAAGTCAGTGGGTCACTCCATGAGTATATATTGTGGAAAATACAGTGATAAAATCTTAGCTTTAACTCCTAAAATTTGTCTAATTGATTAAAAGTTGTGAATACACCACACAAACAGTCCATGCTTTTCTTTTCTGGAATAAAATCTGCTTAAACACCTACAAGAAGACCTGTAAGTTATATATTTCAAAATGTTGCCCAAGTTATCCATAGACTTTTATCGCTAGGCTATCTCACTAGTGACACCAGTATGACAGATCCACAGACTTTTATGGCTAGGCTATCTCACTAGTGACACCAGTATGACAGGTCCATAGACTTTTATGGCTAGGCTATCTCACTAGTGACACCAGTATGACAGGTCCATAGACTTTTATCGCTAGGCTATCTCACTAGTGACACCAGTATGACAAGTCCATAGACTTTTATGGCTAGGCTATCTGACTAGTGACACCAGTATGACAAGTCCATAGACTTTTATCACTAGGCTATCTGACTAGTGACACCAGTATGACAAGTCCATAGACTTTTATCGTTAGGCTATCTGACTAGTGACACCAGTATGACAAGTCCATAGACTTTTATGGCTAGGCTATCTGACTAGTGACACCAGTATGACAAGTCCATAGACTTTTATGGCTAGGTTATCTGACTAGTGACACCAGTATGACAAGTCCATAGACTTTTATGGCGAGGCTATCTCACTAGTGACACCAGTATGACAAGTCCATAGACTTTTATGGCTAGGCTATCTGACTAGTGACACCAGTATGACAAGTCCATAGACTTTTATGGCTAGGCTATCTCACTAGTGACACCAGTATGACAAGTCCATAGACTTTTCTGGCTAGGCTATCTGACTAGTGACACCAGTATGACAAGTCCATAGACTTTTATCGCTAGGCTATCTCACTAGTGACACCAGTATGACAAGTCCATAGACTTTTATGGCTAGGTTATCTGACTAGTGAGACCAGTATGACAGGAGACACAGGTTTTAAAACAAGTTATGTAATTTTTATATGACAAAATAAATGTATCTTGTTTATTTTAACTTGTGCACACCTAATGACAGAAAGCAGTTATCAAAACTGGGAAAACACATTCATTATCACACCATCTGTGACATGTATTCTGTCCAGTTCTTACTTCCAAGTTTGTAGTTCTTATGTGTTAGAATTTTTATTATTAACAAAATTAAGAAAATAACAAATTAGCTGTGACTGTCGTCCACTCAATTTTTTTTCCTTATTTGAGGGCCCATTTATTGATCATTTTTGGCTCCTGGTTTGAATTTCAGAGTTTGCCTTCTCTTAGATGAGTTGCCGTCCAAGGCTAATGAGTCCCATCCACCCTGGGTGCTTTTGATAGAGGCTTTGGTGGGGATTGAACTCAAGACCACTAGCTTTTTGGTTTGAGTCAGTATAGACCGCTCGGCCACCCAGTGTGACGTGACGTACGTTGTCTAGAGGTCGGTCCCCTGCGTACTAGCCACAGAACAATTTTCAAGGGTCTAGAACCCCTTTCTTTCTAGCTCCTACAGAGCTGATGTGACTCATGTTTCAAGTATCAAACAAACGATGCAGAGATTCAGGTTTTTCTTATTTATTGGCTAAATATACCTAACAATGGAAATCAGCTCTGGTGTTCAGAAGAAAACCTGTCCAGAAACCCAACTCCACATACAAAATAGAGTTCCACAGTCCTCTTCCATCAATAGAAAAACTCACGGCCTTCAAAAGACAAAAATCATACACCTTATCCACAGCACTCACCTTATCCACAGCACTCACCTTATCCACAGCACTCACTTTATCCACAGCACTCACCTTATCCACAGCACTCACATTATCCACAGCACTCACCTTATCCACAGCACTCACCTCATCCACAGCACTCACCTTATCCACAGCACTCACCTTATCCACAGCACTCACCTTATCCACAGCACTCACCTTATCCACAGCACTCACCTTATCCACACCACTCACCTTATCCACAGCACTCACCTTATCCACAGCACTCACCTTATCCACAGCACTCGCCACTATTCACTCCTTAAAAAAACAACTCATCTCCCTTTTTTTTTTCTCACACTCCTCTCATCACGACACAGCACACCGGTCACACACTCCTCTCATCACGACACAGCACACCGGTCACACACTCCTCTCATCACGACACAGCACACCGGTCACACACTCCTCTCATCACGACACAGCACACCGGTCACACACTCCTCTCATCACGACAAAGCACACCGGACACACACTCCTCTCATCACAACACAGCACACCACACTCACACACTCCTCTCCTCACGCCACAGTACACCGGTCACACACTCCTCTCATCACGCCACAGCACACCCGTCACACACTCCTCTCATCACGACACAGCACACCGGTCACACACTGCTCTCATCACGACAAAGCACACCGGTCACACACCCCTCTCATCACAACACAGCACACCGGTCACTCACTCCTCTCATCACGTGGCTCTTCCCGACACAGCACACCGGTCATACCTGATCGAGAAAATAAAAACTCGTGGGGCACACGGGGAAAATAAACTCACCCACGATTGGTCAAATTAACATCATAAAAGCTGACACAGAAAAACACACGCGATCTGACTGTGACACCCAGCACCCTGCCTCCTGTCGTGTACATGAGGCAAAGTCATCAAAACAGTTACGGAATCAGTCTATTTGCAGTTTATTAAAAAGAATGAAGGAAACAACCTTACCTGTGCTTGAACTGGAGCAGGATGGTGTCCATGTGAAATGGGCATTGGAGCTGGCTGGTGTCCAGGCCCAATGGACACCAAATGAAATAAATTCAACTGATAACCTCTCCATATGCAGAGAACTATAATAACTAAGAGAGGCAACACACAGGAAACAGCCAGCTGATAATGAACTGGAAGGTCCTTGAGTAACTCTGTCAAGAATGTAGAGATTGCCCTACCAATGATCCCAACGGGTGCCACCAGAGTCTTCACAACGGCAACAGCCAGGGCCTTGGTGGGAATACGAAATTATTGTATTAAGTAAATATGAAAACTGTGATACCTGTTGTAAAATTTTGATAAAACATTCCAATAATTCATGCATGGTCAAATCTATGTTATCTATTCCACTAATTTACGCACGGTCATATCTGTATAATGTTATCTATTCCATTAATTTAAGCACATTCATATCTGTATGATGTTATCTATTCCAATAGTTTATGAATTGGTCATATCAGTATGATGTTATCCATTCCAATAGTTCATGCATTGGTCATATCTGTATGAACAGTTTAAAATAAACTAAATGTTCAACTTAACATTAGGCTCATTGACTAGCACAGCCGCTTAAAGCAACGTGGGTACTTAACACCTGTGGCCAGCAGACGTTCACAGTGCCAAACCATGTGCATGATTATAATATATATGTTAAAAAAAATAATAAATTCTAATCCAAACAGATACGGTTATATTGAACCAGAGGAGTGTTCTCATTATGAAATGAGCTTTTGTGGCTTTGTCAAATATATTTGCTTTTAAAATGAAACTGATTACATGTTTTGAAATGGTATGGTCAATAGATAATGGTAGAATTTGATATTTGTAAGACCTGTGAATGCCCACAAGAAGTTGTAATTATATGACATGAGCAAATCACTCTCAGGCAAAATTATTTAATTAAAAAAAAAAAATTATGATGTAAATCAATATTTAGACTTTTTAATGAAGATGTCAGGTTTCTTGTTAGGCTGATGAAATATGGGCTTCATTTATTATCAATCACTTGGCCAGGTTTCTTGTTAGGCTAATGAAATATGGGCTTCATTTATTATCAATCACTCGGCCAGATTTCTTGTTAGGCTAATGAAATATGGGCTTCATTTATTATCAATCACTTGGCCAGGTTTCTTGTTAGGCTAATGAAATATGGGCTTCATTTATTATCAATCACTCGGCCAGATTTCTTGTTAGGCTAATGAAATATGGGCTTCATTTATTATCAATCACTTGGCGAGGTTTCTTGTTAGGCTAATGAAATATGGGCTTCATTTATTATCAATCACTTGGCCAGGTTTCTTGTTAGGCTAATGAATATGGGCTTCATTTATTATCAATCACTTGGCCAGGTTTCTTGTTAGGCTAATGAAACATGGGCTTCATTTATTATCAATCACTTGGCCAGGTTTCTTGTTAGGCTAATGAAATATGGGCTTCATTTATTATCAATCACTTGGCCAGGTTTCTTGTTAGGCTAATGAAATATGGGCTTAAATTTATTATCAATCACTTGGCCAGGTTTCTTGTTAGGCTAATGAAAAATAGGTTTAATTAAGCTTCAAAATCTTATCTGATGAAATAAAATATTTTTAAAGTTCCAAAAGATTACAATTAAATTTCTGCACTGAGCTACAAGGAAAATATAACAAATAATTAATCTCTCTGAAGCTAGTGTTTTAATTCCAAGCTTTATTAGTGAGAAAGTAAAATTTTGACAATAATTTTGAGCAATGTGACGGACAAATAGATCATTGATAATTTTACCTCCATTGGTGATACTTTGAGAACAGGATTGACAAAGATGTTTTGGTAATATTCCTGGCACTTGTCACTTTTGAAAGTAAACTGAGAACTGACAAACAAAAATGCCCGATTAAAAAATGACTGGTCCTCAGCTTTTTGACAAGCTTTGCCCAAAGTTTCCATGAGTTGTCTTTCTTGATCAGCTAATTTTTCCTGAATGAAAGAAAAGAAACATTTCAATTATTTAGGCATCCCTGGAATGAGGAGTTTACTTTCAACACAGAAGTGTAGAAAAATTATTGACATATTGAAATGGTATTCATGAAAAAAAGAGACTTGTTATATTTGTAGAACTAATGTTACTTGATTAAACCAAAACTTAATAACTTGGCTTATAGTATTAAAAGTGTGCCGTTTTATTTTTTTAAAATGCTAACTATAATTATTCATCTCAAGGAATGATTAACTTCATTTTTTGGGCCTACATTAAATCACGAGCATCAGGTAAAGACATTCTAGAAATTGCATCACCTAATAGCATTTTTTCAAAACAAATAGAAGGCATTCGAACGCAAACAGCCTTTCCCAATCTAGGAAAGGACACAGCACATTTACTCCATGAAGTCAATATCAAGGCAATTGTTGAGGGAGACAAGTGGTTGCTAAAAATTAGGCTTAAACATATGCCATAATAAGGATAAAACCACAAGTTGATTGCAAGCTTTATCAGTTGGTGCGATGAAAATTTTCAGTGTACTGTCCAGAGGTTTCCTAATCTAAATGATAAAAGAGTTAATTTTTTTTAAATATATGATGGCTGATTTTCACTCTAGAGAAATACTTAAGATGTCTTGTGTTTGAATTTTTATAATTGTAAAATGTTGTCTTGGTTTAAATATGTATTTATTTATGTGCTGAAATGTAAAATGTAATAAAAAAAGCATTTCCATTTATTTGGATCAATAAAAGAATCTTATCTTAACTTATCTTAACTTATTTTATAATATCTTATATTTTCCTTTATTATTGAAGTTCCCATAAGCAAAGCTGTAATTTCTTTATATGAAGAAAAATTGGTTTAATTAATTTCAAATTATTAACATTAACCATCTTAAAACCTACTTGATACATCTCTGCCCAGGCGAATATCACACTGATGACAAATAAGAGGAACAGCATCTGGAATATTAGGCGCTGAGTAATAAGTGTCTGCTGCAGCACTCTTAGAAGTGCAATGAAACAAATGATGGTGGCCAAAATCTGGAGAAAAAAAAATCATAAAACTATTTTTTAATTTTTTAAACAAGAGTGGACAAACAACTGTCCTAAGTAATTAAAACAAAATAATTGCAACATATATTATCTACAAAAATGTTGTTTAAAAGTCAGTTGGAAAATTAATTTTTTCACCAAAACAACACCGACCTGCAACATCATTGGCCATGATAAACCCATCCTAGATTCCAGCCAATGCAAATTTGATTCTGGAGGGAGAACATCACTGGCATATTGTATAATGTAACGCAGAATATCATGTATATCATGAATGTCTGTTGTTTTCTCTTGTCCAAATTGTTTGAGCTTATAGATTTCATGACGACTAACTCGAAGTCTTAGATTGATATCTGAACGTGTGTTTGAAATGTCCTGCAAAAAATGTTAATTTCAAATTTATTGTCATTCTTAATGAGGTCAAAGGTTATGTCTTCATCCATACGAGAGAAAACACATTTTGCATGGCTTAAGTCATGTTAATTGACTCAATTTAAAGGAGTTCTCTATCGCTATAAAGGAAAAAAGTTTCTCTGAAATTGTTCACTCATGAAAAATAAAAACTTGATTTTATCGGGATTTAAATTAAATGTATAAATTTATAGGAAAAAATCAACATTTTTCAAATAACATTTTTTGATATTCTTATAAAATGTAAGTTTTTACCAAGAAACATACTGTCTTTTAAAAAAAGTATAATAATCAGATCGCAGTGTATGTAAAAGTGATAAGATTGGAAAAGATATTAAAACATAAGGAAAATTATCATTACCTTGCTTTCTAAATTATTGACCAAAATCATGGCATACTGCCGCAACAATGAAATGGCAACTGTACTTAATTTTGTATCTGCTGAACAGCTTTCAGTTTTTTGTGTGAACATTTCTTTGGCAACACTGTCAGACTCATCCTTGGGCTCACTGTTGGTGGTTGGTGAGTCTGTCTGTGTAAACCCAGGTTGTGGAGCTTTGTTAGTGGTTACTTCATCAGATTCCTAAATATTTTAATGAAAATTTGCATGTAAAAAGCATTGATTTGCTTTTGTGTTCTTTGCAATGCCCTACAATATTTCCGATGCAGAATGTAATTAGATTTCACAGCTGAAATAAGTGTAAAGACTAAATCAAAGGCTTTACTGTACAGAGAAAACTTAATGTAACTGAAGACATTTCTTTGAACTCACTTTTTTCATTCGCATGTTGATTGGATCAAAGTTAAATAAGTCCATCGGATCAATGTAATCTTCATCGTGTGCTTGATCTGTGCAGACTAGGGTTATCACAGCTAAGCTCAAAAGTAACAAAGTGATGAACAAATTACTCTTTTCCATGTTATCCTTGAAGGAGAAATATGCATGCATTTGTTTAGATATAATGATAATATTTACAGACTCCAAAATTTAAGCTGCAATAAAATATGAACAGCAGCAAATTAATTTTTAGAATGTTTAAATATTCATTTATTTTTGTTTTGATTATGAACTCAGGAGTATTAATTATGCCACCAGCACACTCAGCACAGTAAGCAGACCTAACTAACTGTAGCACTGTTTTAGCTGAGGGAAGAGGGTGATACATAAATAAAGGAATACAAAACTTTTTCTAACTTCGCAACAAAATTAATTGACGGCTGAAATTATGCCAGGAAAGGGGAAAACCACATGTCATTGACACCTCTTGCTGAATATCTAGAGGTAGGTACTCTAATACTCGTGAAAATGGACCATGCTGAGACAAACAGTTGAAGCTTGAACTTTGGGTAAGTCTTGGAACATAAATATTTTTTTTCTTTAACTTTATGATTTACATAACATAGCAGGAATACTAAAGCTGAATCACTTTGTAAAGTCAATCACTTATTTTAAATAGTGATAATAATTTCAACTTTTAATTATAGTTATAGTTTTCCAAGCTTAAAAAAAGTCAACAAATTGAGGTCAGACTAATTGCCGCCATTTTCTATTATCGGAAGCCATATTTCCAATTGTAAATCATTGATTAAACATTTTTAAAAACCTAAACATTATGACACATAATCAAATAAAATGCTGAGCAATATAACTATACATTGGGCCTTTATTGTGTTGTGCATTGTCATATTTATTTTATTTTTTAATTTACGACTTTGCCCATGATCATAATTGATCTTGATCTCCTGTCCCATCAATTATTGACATTTGTTATGTATAATTAATTACAGCATATCAGCCATTCAACTACGAGTGTTAGGTAGTCTAACAGTGTTATTTATTTTTTAATTATAAAATTAAAGTAAATAGGTCTCTCTCGAAAAGTTATAAATGGACCCTGGATGACTACTCTTGACAAGAACTCTGAAGATCTCAAGCATTTGGAGATGGTAGGTCAAAAAAAAAAATTCTGCTTTATGGTGCTTTTTGATTTAGTCTGCTTTATGTTGTTTGTTTCTTTCACAGCTTGAATGATTATGGCATTTTCTTTAGTTCCAATCCTTTATTTTAAACAATAGATTCCACACGTGAGGGCATGCATTGCCAAGCTTGAGGAGATCAACCAACACCCTGATTTGATTCTGACGACGGAGGAAGATGGTTTTGATCAACAAATGGATGAAGATGAAGTGTTGCTAGAGTTTCAGAGCCAGAACCACCCACAACAAGTCATTGTAAAACTTTATAAAGCATGTTTTAAATTTTCTTTGTAATATTTGAGTAACCTATTACATTTGAAGTGTCACCATCTGTTTGTACTGAAAATTTCATTGCAGAAGCATTATTAGTTTAAAAGTTATGTATTTAAATGTAAAACTGTTTTGGCTGTAGTACATTAATTAAATGTTTTTTCCTAAAATTGCATACATTTTTCTTATCTGCATTTTTATATATTTTTAAAATTGCCTAAATTTTAGATAGATATTATCGGTTTGTACTTATAGTAACAGATTTATTGGTTTTATAGTTATGTCATTTTTTTTTTAAATTAAAAATTCTTTACATGTCGTTAATGACACCTTATGCCTTATGTTTATATGATAATATTTTATGAAATATAATAAATTAATTTACAATTCAGATGTTTTGTTTTGTTAATAATTCTATTAATAATGTATCGTCCAAATTTTAGCACTATAACTTAAATAGCCAAAAAATACAAACAAAAGAGTACAAAAATTAAAAGATTAAATGATTAATGATTCGAGCACAGTTTTAGAATTTATAACAAAGCTAAATAGTGGGGGAAATAAATCACTAAGAAATTCATAACTTTTATCCTATAAGTATAAGTAATAGCAGCTCTTTCCAATGATATATTACGTTTTATTTGTGTATGTCAGATTTTTTAAAAAATTTGAGTTGAAGTACCTACGCCCAATGCCAATAAAGTTGCTACAGACAAAATGTATTTTTTTGGTTTCAAATTTAGGTCATCTACAACTTGAGTGTAAAAAAAAATGTTGGTTGCCTGGGTTATGAAAAAATCCGGTTTTCTTGTTTGAAGTGCTTTTTATTTATTACCTTTTAACAGTACCCGTACTTAACATCGGATAAAGTAACAGTATTAAAGAAGGGTAGAGTGTTCAGTGGGATAGTGTAAATTTAGACTACACTTTCTTTTGACTTTGAGTTACTTTGACCAATTCAAAACAGTTTATTAACACTTTTTTTTATTCATAATCATACATAATCATTGTAATTACTTTCTGGTACTCTTACTTTTAGTTTCTCAGACTCATGACAATTTGTCATGATGACAAGTCACACTTTTTTCCTAGTCCTAATAAAAATAAAGAATACTAGTATAGTAGTATTATTAAGTATAAAATAAGTATAAGTAGTCCTAGGGCCTAGGCCTAGGTATCAGTATCAGGGTCAAAATGGATTTTAATCATTATTAAACTACTATAATTAAGTTAATATTTAAAATGAATGTATGATGTGTCGTAAGGGACATAAAATGTAGTGTTATTTTATTTGAAATACTCTCACTCTCAATCCCAGCTCCATTTGTTGTTGTCTTCTAGCCCTGAGTCCTGAACTGAATTCAATTTGTTTACAACATTAGCTTCCGGGCCAAGTATATTTAAGTATAGGATCGGGGTTTCCCTATCACTAAATTAGACAAGCGTACGGTTCTAACATAAACTGAAGTTAGAGACCCTTCTTTCAATACAAAAATAAGAATCGAATGGGGGGTGGGGGTGGGCGGGGGGGGGGGGGGGGGGGGGAGGGGGAAAAAGGGGGGGGGGGGGG